GGTTGATGCAGCTGCTGCTAAGACACAAGGTTATAGACATCCAACAGCCCCCACCATCTGCCTCCAAGCCATTGGTAGAAAGCTTTGTCCTTCCCAACCACAGATGTACTCTAGGTCCATTTTGATCCTTTAAAGATGGCTCTCGGTCTCCTTGAACCCTGAAGGGCTAATGCTACTTACCTAAGATGTTGAGGGTGAAGAGGAGGTCCTTGACAGTGAGGGTCATCTCAGAAAGATGAGGCTCCCTGTACTGGGAGGGTTCTATCCACCAGGGGGATCCCCCCAACCCATCTTATCTATCCCTCTCTTGTGGTATCTATCAACATCTATAGTTTACCAGTTTTATGTCTTACCTACCATTGAGGGTAGAGTCAGCATCTGATGTACCTTTCTATCCCCCACCAGGTCAGAAATGAAGAACACCTTTCTCTTTGGCTTTCTCTCCTTGGGGAAAGTCTGGTGAAAAGAAGGCACTCAGCAGAGAAAACAGGAAAAAAAAAAAAAAAAAAACCAACTGTAGCCAGCCATTTGTTATCTATGTAAATAGAAAAGGAGGAAAAAATGCCAATAATTTTTTTTTTTTTTTTACAACAGCATCATTCCTTCAGTGGTGGAATGACAGGTAAAACAAGGCGACAAAATCCATAGTTTGGTAGCTCTGGAGTTTGGTGTGTGAAGATGGGAAGGGCAGTGGTGGGAAATATGGCAAGTGAGGGAGGCGTGTTCAGGTCCCGGAAGGCCTCATGTGCCTGTACTTTATCCTGAAAGCTACAGAAACAACATGGACAGTTTTCCCTTTATGAGTCCCTTGGCAGTGCTCGCCTCGGCAACACATACACTAAAATTGGAACAACACAGAGAAGATTAGCATGGCCCCTGCGCAAGGATGACATGCAAATTCTTGAATAGCTTGGCAGCAAGGTGGAGGCTGGGTTTGAGGGAGGCGGACCAGAAGGAAGGAACCTAGACAGAAGGCAGCAGCCCCACAAGCTCAGGCTGAGCTGAGGAGATGAATTCCAAGGAATTCGGGAAGCAGAACCCCCAGGACTGGGTGACTCTGGGGTTCTTGCTGAGACACTAAGAGGCTCGGGAACCCTGACAAACAGCAGATGGAGGGAGGATGTGGATTAGCAGTGACATCTGGACGTGTGGAGACATCCACAGGCAGCATCCCACGGGCATATGGATACGTGGGTCTGGAGACGGGGAGCATGGTGTGGGGTTAGAGACGGAGAAGTGTGCAGCAACTGCTTACAGGTGGTGGCCAGCAATGCATGTGATGAGCTCCTCCGGGCAGCAGGCAGTAGAAACTCGAAGAACCCTGCCACCTAGGGGGGTTGTCTCCTTCTTTTTCTGTTATTTCCCCCAGGAATTCCCTCTCTAAGGAGGGTCAAGGTGAATGCCAGTGTGTGGGGCCAATGGCCATGACCACCAGAAGGGAAGCATATGAACCAGGGATAACCCACAACTCAGATCCCCCCACCCCCCAGCACAGAACCAGCGTCTGTCTGAACATGGATCCAAGACCTGGTGACCTGGTGACAGGGTTTGTGTGCATTCTGTAAGACAAACCCCATGGCTGCCTGAGAATAACTCAGAAGTTAATTAAGTCAAGTCATTTCTGCTTCCACACAAGCACCCTCCGTCCTTACAGCCTTCTCCTCAAAAGGTTGTATGGTCCGATGTCACAACCACTAGAATGGTATAGGGCTAGCGGTGCACAAAATGGGCTCAAACCTAGGTCTTTAAACCCCAGCTCTGCTGTTCACTTGGCGGAGACCCGGGACAAGTCAGTTAGCCTCTCTTTACCTCAGGTTCCTCATCTGTGAACCAGACATGGTGATGATGGTGATGATGCCGAGGAAGGTGGTGGTGGTGGTGGTGGTGGTGATGCTAATCATGGTGGTGGCAGTGGCACCAGTGATAGTCCCTTTCTCGCCGGCCCTTTGTAAAGGTTAAACGAATTAAGGGGTGCGGGTTGCCAAGAACACAGGGCACGGCACAGACTAAGCGATACGTAAATGTTAGCTCTTAGTGGCTGATCTGGTCACGAAATTCCTCCTTCCAACACGATCAGAATCAACAAAGCAGGAGGTAGAATCGGTGTTGATAGGAAAGTGGTATTCAACCATGGGGAAGGCTGAAAGGAGGTTGAACTGGAAGGTACCTTGAAGATCAACCTGCAAGACCCCCTGTTTCGCATGTGAGGACACAGGTGACAGGAGCAGGGAGTTACTGAGACAGGACCCTAACGGCAGGGCAACATTACACAAATGCAGGGAGCTAAAGATGTTCCATCACTCTCCAGCCCATTTGCTTCCACAACCCCTTCCAGGGCTGCAGCTTCACTTTCCCCCCTTCCCAAGCTCCAGTCCTGCATCTCCTGCTGCTTGCTCATCTTTGGTGTGGCTAAACCCAACCACCACTTTCCCCCAGACCAGCGCTTCTTCACATCCCGTCTCCCAGCATTACCCCCACACCTTGGTCCTCTCCTTCCCCACACTCGGGAGTCAGCATTTCCTTGTGCTCTGTGCTCCACGTTCCACGCCTGGCATCTCGCCCTTCCGGTTCCCACAGCACCCCTGCCCCACTTCTGGTCTCTAACTTCGCTCGGGGGCCACCGAGATGCAGCCCAGCTGCTCTGTGGCCACCTCTCCTCGGACTGGGCCCACATCCAGGCTGTCATCACACAAGTCTTATTTAAATACTCTTTCCTTGCATAAGTCCTCATTCCTTACCCTCAGAGGGATGACTTCCAAACAGACCCGCCTACTCTCCTTCCCCTCTTACCAGGGAATCTGGACTCTGACATCCCGGAGCAGTCCTAAAATTTCCACTGCTAGCCCATGAATGCCCCAGTTGGCCGCAGGGAGGTCTGTGAGGATGCAGAAGGAAGCAGCAGGGCCCAGGGGAGGGGTCTGGGGCTGCTCCCTGCCCCCTGTAGCCCTCCCCTCAACTCTCCTCCTCCCTTTCAAGGCTGCCTGTGGTGTTGTTTTCATCAGGGTTGACCTGATACATGTTGAGCACCTGTTACCCAGTGTGCTCGCCCAGGCCAAACACACTTCCCCGAGTGGGTGAGCCTCCAACCTAACAGGCCCTCACCTGGAGATGACCCCCTCCATCTTCACAATGGGCGCACCACCACGAAAATACACCAGGTAGCTCTTGGGCACACAGGGCACCAACACAGCCATTGCCGTGAGGGAGGGAGCTGGTCCTCTTTCCTTTGTTTTCCAAAGTTTCCTCTCATCCACGGGATTAACTACTTTCACCTCAGTAGGCTTTAAAAGAAAAGCCTGGTGCTAATGGGAACCAGCCCAGCTGGGAAGGGTTTAATGGGTGCTGACAGTGGCATCATGTGCAAACAAAATAGGCCGCCCCTGGGAGAGCCAGGACACCACCTGCTCTGCCTCTTCTCTGAAAGGAAAGGACAAAAATATGAAAAATCAAGTCGTGGAATATTCAGTACAACTGGCAGGAAGACATTCCTTCTGAGAGAGCACAGCACGTTGGAAAGGCGAACACCCCCCCTTCCTTCTGATGCCTCGGAAAGCGAAGAGGGCAAGCTTCCCTAAGGGGACCAGGCTTGAACCCAGGACCTCCCCACAAGTTCTGGAAGGGTCCAGAGCTAACTTAAATGGAAGTAGATATAGCTTTGTCCCAAAGCATTTTCAATTATGGGCCTGTGTTAATAAGCAGGGTTGACCAGTTGGGATTTATAAGTCAACCGAGGAAAGGGGGTCTAAAAACCAAATTATGATCTCTAGAATGTGGGATTACAGTATCTTCTCAATTCCTACTTAATAGATATTCGCATGGTTGGGGAAGTTTAGGATTTTGAATGTTACCTTATTGCAATTTGCTGTAAATGCTAAGATGCTAGGGCCACCTGGTGGCTCAGTAGTTGAGCGTCTGCCTTTGGCTCAGGTCACGATCCCGGAGTCCTAGGATTGAGTCCCACATCAGGCTCCTGGCAGAGAGCCTGTTTTTCCCTCTTCCTATGTCTCTACCTCTCTCTGTAGGTCTCTCATGAATAAATAAAATCTCTTTAAAAAAATAAATAAATGCTAAGATGCTAACGTATGAATAATAATTGGTCAAATTTCTAGATTTAGGATTTCAAACATCCTAAATGTCTCTATGGGTCTTGACATGCCCTTAGGCCCCGCTGTCTTTTGCCATTCATTGCCAGGCGTGTCTGGGTGGAACACTTAGTGACAGGATTTGTATTTCTAAAGCCCTCACTGCAAATCTATGACTCTAGCACATCTTAGCCACTTTACCCTAATCTACCTTCCCAGGGCTCCTTCCTCATCTACAAAATGGGAATCATACTTCATTGAAGAGGTACAAAAACTAATTTAGACACTATCAATAGAAAAGGAAATTGCTCTGTCATCAGGCCTAGTACCCACCGTGAAGGTCTTAACATGTGTCCCACTTCCACCCTCTCCTTTTCTTCTCTCTATTAGTGGATATCACTCCCCAAAAGCTCCGAGGGGCACACTGGGCAAGAACTAAGGGCAGGAGGGGCACCTGGGTTGCTCAGTCGGTTAAGTGTCTGCCTTCGACTTGGGGTCATGATCCCAGGGTCCTGGGATCGAGCCCCTCACCAGGTTCCCTATTCAGCCAGGGGTCTGCTTCTCCCTCTCCTCTCAGTCACTCTCTCCGTCTCTTTCTCTCAGATAAGTAAATAAAATCTTAAAAAGGAACTAAAGGCAGGAGAGGGGAGGATAACATATTCAAAGACCTGTTTTTCTACTTAAAAAACATTCGTTTGAAATTCTTATCCAAAAGTTATATGGCTAAAAAATTCATTACCTATGTTTTAATTATACAAGAGCCTTACAAGGAAAAGATCTTCCCAAGCATCTAAGAGACCACCACTTAACAGGATGTTAGATGCAAAAATTTCAGATTTTCCTCCTGAGGGTAACGTTTAAAACATTCAAATTTGCAAAAAGAGAAGCAAATGGGAATAAAGACATTCACAGCAAAGCTATTTCATAACCACTAGTTATCATTTACACATCAAATACATACAGCATTGAGACCAAATGTACAGAATTTCCACATTTATATACAGTAATCAACATAGTGCACAATTCAAATCTATCTTACAATCAAGTGTACAAGTTTAAATATGGCTTTATAAACTACTAACAATAACTGTGCTAAAGAAACTCATAGGTCCAGAAATAAACACTGGAATGCCACCTCCACACGGAGGCCCTTTGTTCAGCAAGACGCTATTCCTTGTGTTTGCAAAACAGATGGTTCAGGTAAATGCTTCCAGGCCGGCCGTGTCCACCCATCAGCCCCCAAGCAGTTGAAATGTGGGTTCAAATTATACCAACATCAGTCCTTCCTATCTCAGACATCTGAAAATAAATCTGTGCATCTTCCACACATTTGCAGACATGGGGTTACAAACGAACAGAAGAAAGATATATAATCAGTGAGATGATGGTTACCAGGAATTAGCAAAACATGCTTTTCAGATTGGTACTGGAATTCTCAAGCAATACATCCCATATTTGCATTGTTTTCTTCCCCTCCTTTCTTATTTTGCTTAAATCCATGGACTGTGAAATCTTTCAGAAATTTCCAAAACATTCCAGATCAAGTGGTCCCAAAAAACAGGATCAAAAATGGCTCTTGTAAAAAAAAAAAAAAAAAAAAAAGGCTCTTGTAAAGGGGATATCTATGTGTTCACTATTCTCTTCCCCAACTAAAAATGTCCATTTTAAGTAAAAATAAATACACGCAGGTATACATTCCTTGACCTAGGATCATGCGCCCATGCCTATTTTACATATCACTTTGCCGCAAATGTAACATACACATTCTTTAATCAATTGCAGCCTTCTAGGTGTTACCCCTAAATACACCTTGCCCTGTTCCCTAAACTCTTATTGAGTGCAGGAGAATATGAAAATTTCTATGTTTGCCATGGTTTTTCATGTACGTATCAGTACAGCAGTGTGAGCAGTGTGTGTGTGTTTATAAATAAATATGCTAATGAGCATGCTCAGAAAGTTTTACTGTGGAGTGAATGAGCACAAAGGTTTGGAGACCCCTGCCTAAATACCGATGATCTGGGGTGTCTCCATTTAAAGGACATCAACGAAACAAATATACATTACTTTGTACATTTTATACTTATAAAATGGAAACCATATGCCACAAACCCTTTTGAGAAACTAGAAGGAAGTTCCAGAATCAAAGGAGCTGGGTGGGGTCCAACACTCTGCTCTTACCTGCTCCCCTACTTCCTTGGCTTTAGGTGGGACAACCCTGGAGCTCGAGCATATAAATTAAGACAAAGATCAATGTTACTCCAATGCTTCCTTCACTGGTCTTCTGTATATCCACAAACAACCCTTCCCTACAAATTGCATTTGTTTTTGATGTATAAACCTGGATTTTGTATTGTGTTACTAACACCACCACTGAGACAACTTTTGATGTGCCGGACACATCTCTAACAAGGCCATACCACGTGGCTGCCTGAAGCCACCACCTTTTCTCCTCTCCTCCCACTCTATGAAATCCTCATACCATTAACTGAAGGATTCAGGCCCTCATCTTCCCAACCATCACCACCGTCTGAGCTGTCAGACACTCTGCAGGATGCACATCTCTGGGGAAAACACATGTTTACAATAAGCATGATCCCATGAGACTGATTACTTGAGGTAATCATTTTGACAGGAGTAACACAAGCATGTCGCCCCTACTGAAGCAGAGATTCCTCAAAAATTTGAGCACTGTTTTTAATCTTATTGCTGCAAAAGAATTCAGATACAATTTGTTTAAAGTAAAAATACAATCATTTGGACATGGTTTGTGTTTGAATAAGCCAAATGTGATCTCTTACTGAAGAGAGAGAAGAAAATATGACACAACACTTCTAATTCTGAGAACAACTGTTAAAAAAAAGTCCACAGATCTGTTTCGTTTTGTGACTTTTAAGAGGAGGGAGGTGGCAAATATCCAAAGCATTGCATTTCTCTTTCCTAGCCCTCCACTTAATTGTATTCCTTCTGCTTTTTAGCCACAGCTAATTAACATGACAATTTAGGAGCTGAATCCTATTGTTTTTAAAGCCATAAGTAACTTTTAAAAATACTAAAGAAAGGAAAAGTTTTAAGTATTATTGATAAATGAGTTGCTCTATTCCAAAGCCACAAAGTAAAAAAAAAAAAAAAAAAAAGATGTTTGCTGTGGTGGGGGCAGGGTGTAAATTATTCATATTTAATAAAATTAGCCATTATCATAAATACATATTGCTCTACAATTAGTGAATTGCTTCAAAATATTTAAAGCTACTAATAGGGACAACAATTTTCAAAAATCCAAGAAGGCCATCAAGTTCATTGCTGATGTTATTTAATTGTGTACAGAACACTAAAGTCTCTACCAATCTTTTATTCTAGGTAACTTGTTTCTCCTACTAAAATGATCATGAGTGTTGGTGCTGGATAGACCACATTCATAAGTTAGTTTATTATTGCAATGGGCCCCTTTATTTATCTAAAGGTTTTACAACTTGGAGCAATAATCTTGAATTTCGAGCATCCCACTTTGTCATAATCTAGCCAGCAATAAGTTTCAGAGGGCCTTATTCTGGGGACAAGTTCCCTGCCTTAGCAAGAGCCAGAATGCTGGAGGGGGTCACACTGTCAGCCCCAAGAGAGCTGAGTCACTTTCCTTTAAGCTATTTTTCAGTTTCCTCTGTAACCATCTCTAAAGACCAGGTCAATATGTTACTCATCCCAGTTATCTTATCGTAAAGGTTAAGGAATCTTAAATAATATCTTCCAGATATTCTTTAAAGTCAAGGACTAAAAACTCAAGTTTCTGGTAAGGAATTCAAATGACGAAAACATTCATGATGTGTTTGCATTTACTCCGAGCACTAGCAAGAGTACTCCAGGAAAGAGGGACCTCCTGCCCCACCCACTAAGGGGATCCTTTCAAACTTCACCTAGTTTCATCCAGACCACCAGAAGCAAGTGAAAGAAGGTCAAACACTCCACAATCATACATAATTCATGGCTGGATCTATTAAAGATGGGTTGCCAGAGTTCAGCATTCAGACTTGGAAGTATTTGTGATCGAATGTACCTTCATCGGTTCTTGTTCAACTTAAACAGCACTGCACATAATGGAAAGCAAAGGATCTTGGATCATAGTCAGGAGCAATAAAAATAACTTCACCCTGTTAAAAAAAAAAAAGAAGACGACAAAGACGACGACAATAAAGAAAAACCTGAGTAGTTACCTATCAACAAAGGCACCATCCTTTTATTGAAAATACACTCAACAATTATCCTATGAATGAATTCATGAATAAATCGATGGATGAGTACAGGAAAATGTGACTGTGCAGACCTTTTTCCTATAAGGAAAAATCCAGCCTCTTCTCTCCTACCTGAAGCCCCCAGCCAGTCACCCTACCCACGCAGAAGTGGTGGATTCAAGGGCTGAAGTGAAGCTCATCTGGCCCTGAATTGATTTTGATTAACTTTTTGGATAGTTTAAAGACAACCGACAATGACAACAATAAAATCTTGTCAGTTTCAAAAGGTCAAATCTGTCAAGACAAAGACACTTTATCAATTAATGTTAGACTGCTCTTCTTCCTTCCTTCCCTGTCACTCAACACACACTCGACATGGACAATAAGAGATTGCTTTTTTTTTTTTTTTTGAGATTGCTTTTGCACACACATCCCAGACCAATTTTTCTCCTCTCTGAATACATCAAAGGCAAGAAAGAATGAACACTAACAACAGTAACTTTTAAAGGCTTTCTAATAGGTTTATTTGGCTAGGGTCTGTGAGACCCCTAAGGAATCCATGAATGATTTCAGGCCTCTAAAACTGAACTTATATGTAAAATTTTGCATATTTGCATATATGTATTTTTCTGGTAATAAGATACAGGATTTTCATTAGATTGTCAGTGACAGCCCCAACACAAAAAATTTAAAACCACTACTTTTTAGTGTATGGCCTGCTTTCTGGGCATACCTTTCCCATGTAGCCATCATGGAAGGAAATGATGAGTGCTGTGTTTCTAGAGAAAGGAGAGATGATAATGGGCTGGGAAGTCTTGCAGAATGGATGAAGTTGGGCCTCAAGAGCTGGGCATGAGTTGGACCAGCAGACAGGAAGGGCAGGCATTTCAGAAGAGAGGCTAGCATAAGCAGAGACAGAAGAGAGGCTAACATAGGCAGAGGCATAAGCAGAGGCAGAGAGACACGAGGCCTATTTAGGCAGTGGCAAAGAGACCAACCCAGATGCACTGGATGGTTCACAATGGAGGAGCCCTAGGAGACACAACAGGAAATGAGATGAGAGAAGAGGTGAGAATACCATGCCCCAGGGAGTGGCCCTCATCCTGAGGCAATATGGCAGCCCCTCAGGGCCAAGGCTTTTTTAAAAAAATTAATGGTGGTGGGTGGAATGGATCAGGGAAGCAACCAAGCATTTAAAAGAAGCTTTCAGAGAAGTCTAGGCAAAAAAGGATGCCCTAAAACAAGGGCATGTCTGTTCTGTTCACCTCTTTATCCAGCATGGGTCCTAGGGCCAGGCAGAGGGTAGGTAGATGTTCAGTAAATACATAATAAGTGAACATACAGGTATGGATTCTTTAAAGATAAATAACAAAGGATAAGGAGTCTTGGTGACTTGATGTCTTTCATAGAGTCTAGCAGTGTCTTGCACAGAGTAAATCCTAATGAAAGATCTCTTGAATTGGTCTGGATGGACCTGAATAGACATGGAGAACAAGAGTGGAAGACTCCAAGCACTCTTTAAGAGAGGCTAGGACGTTCTGGTTCCACAGGCATGGAGTGATTTCTCAGGGGACATGAGTTTTAATAGGAAACCAAGTCAAAGTGGTATAATGGCAAGAACCATCTAAAGAAAGGTCAAAGACTTCAGTTCAGGTCCTGCCCTCCAAATGAATGTGCATGTGACATAGAGCCAATAACCTCAGAGGCTCTCCTGTAAGGGGATTTCTACAACTGATCCATGGCCCCGCTATACATTGCTATGATTCTCAAATAATCTAGGCAACACCCATGAAGCTAAAATCCCTAGCTCTTCCTTTCCTTGAACTCTTAACTATTTTAGGAAAAGATATCCTAATTTCTAACACCACAGTACATACAGGCAGGGTTCATTGGAGGGCCAGACTGCAGTTGTGATTCAAGTCCAAGTTGTTCTAAGTCTATGATCAGTCACCTGGGTGGCCTCCGTAGCATCACTGTTCACAATTCATTGTAACAACAAAATGGCAAACTCTAACAATATAGTTTATCTTTGCATAAATTTATATTGCCCTTATATCTACTCTGCCATATGCAGATTAAATCACACTGTTGCTGCTCTTCGATCCTGATGAGTGGGGATAAGGGACAATGGGAGAGGGATGAAAGAGAAGAATTTATTTTTACAATGACAGGTAAAAAAGAAACAAACAAAAACAGGTGGCTAGTGGGTCTTCCGATCAACCAAAAAACATCTGTTAACATTAAAGATCACACTTCCTTAAGTTACTTTCCAATAAAAAAAGAAACACAAGTTGAACAAGTAAGCCAGATAACCAAAATATCCCCTAATTTCTTGTTATTTTTTCTTATAAGTAGCACCTGTTCACCATATTGGAGAACATTTCAAATCTGGGGAGCTTAAGAATGAAAGATAAAAATTAAAAAGATAAAAATAAAGCCATCCCATAAAGACTACCCAGGTCATCCACACCACAGCGATTCTTTCTTGGTCCTTTCGTTTCCATAATACACATGGAAGGTAAAACCTGGGTATATTCCAGGGTTCCAAATCAGGTTACACCTACAAAATGCTGTATAGTCAGTCATGAGCCATCAGGCTGGTACCCAAGACTCCAAGTGGTAATGTCCATTCAAGCCCCTGTGAGAGGTACCTAAATAGAATGACTTATTTTACAACTTCACAAAAAACATTGGCTCTCCATGTACTTGCCCTCCAAGCTATGCACAATTAAAAAAATATATGACTCTACACAGGCATAACTTAATCATTCTTGAAGTGAAGATATAACACACCTGGTGCTATATAGTAAGAATAAATTGTTGGCAAAATTTCAAACACAACTCTTTCCAGCTAAGGGTGGGAACAGGGCAACTCGGTCTTTTTGCGGACAGGTCTATAGTCCATCTGTTTATTACATTCACATTTTCAAGCCCCAAATTTCCCTAGTCAAAGTATCCCTAGTCACTCAGAACTACCGCCAGCTGACCTTGGAACACACGTTAGAGACAGAGATGACCAATCCTCGCACACAACGCTGGAGATAAAACACGCTCGTCCATTCGTATTTCTCCACCACATTTTCATCAGGCACAAACAGTCTCCTCTGGAAGATGAATGGTTTTAATAAGATACTACCAATTGGGTTTCCTGTGCAACAAGAATTTCTAACTCAGGGCATCTCCACATTTCTTCCCAGTTACATATATCCCACACAGTTGCTTCAATGGTAAGCGGCCTCAGCAACTCTCCCCCTTTACCTCTTTGTGAATCCACCGCATTTTAGGGTTGTTTTTGCAAAAGCCATATTCAAAGAGAGTCTTTTTCAAGCAAAGTATGTGAACTTCTCAGCACAAGTTGCTGTCTTTTAAGCAGTGCGTCTTTGGCCCTACAATGAATAACTATTACCCAGTGAGTCCATTGTGATCGGAAGCAAAGCAGTTCTGTTTGCAGTAGTAAATCTTAACACCGACCCTCCTAGCCCAAATCCACGGCCATCACCCCAGCATCTTCACCCCATATTTCACTGGAAAATGTTTTAAGTCAACAAAAATAATGTCTTCAGAGATGCCTTGGTAAATAGAGTAACCCCAAGGATCCATGTGCTCTACGGGGAAGGAGAGGGAGCACAGGGAGACTATGGGAAATCCTTAAGAAATATTAAGATTTGTCCTCAGCATTGCCTTCCTCTCATGGGGCAATGGCTGAGAACACCAGAAAGGTTGCATTAGTAAAACTGCATAGAGTCTACACTGCACAAAGTGCTTTGATATCAGTAACAGGATCCTCTTCATACTTCATCTTTTCAATACTTCTTGCAAGGTTTGTTTTCAAAAAGACATTACATGTTGGTAAGCGACTGCTTAGAAAAATCAGTCAAATACCTTCGCCTTCACCTCTAAGAAACCTATCATATTCCTGAGCTTTATTCCCTTCAAATAAACCAAACACAGGCAACTTAACACTCGGGAGTCAACAAAGGACGACATTCCAGTGTGCGTTCAGGCAACAAAAGAAAGACTTCTGCAGGTCCACAGAATTGAAGACTGTGTGTAGCTGTTGATGATCTGTAAAAATATTTTTCAAGGCTCTTTCAACAAAAGATTTCGATTCAAGCAGGATCACAGGGAAGAACGATGACAGAGTCCTAGCTGTGCCTTTGCATGTTTCGTCTGCTCGGCTTTTGCGAGTTGACTGTGGCTGCTGTTGGCTGGATATGGAATTCCTCTGCCCTCGAATCTTCATACATCGGAAGCACAATCAAGAATAAAATGTTGCGTTTATGTCACACCCCTTCCAAGAGGTTTAAAGCGCCGAATGTTACCACGTGAATCCTCACAACACCCCTGTGAGGTAGGTAGGTGGAGAGTATTGGTATCCCCACCTTACAGGTGGGGGAAATGAGGCACACAAGAATTAAGGGACTTGCCCGAAATCACACAGCTAGTCACTGGCAGGACAAAGAAAACTTATACTGGTTAGCACCTAACACAGTGCTTTGCACATAGTAGGTGTTCACTGAATATCTATGGATTTTATTTGAATTATCTCAACATACAATATACACAAATAAAATACAAGCAGCCACCATAGAACATCTGTCTCCTACATTTCTCCTGGTGACTTGTCTCATGACTCTGAACCCAGGTGGATGCAGGATGTTCAAGACTCCATCTCACAGCTAAGCCCTCGGGTTGAAGAGGATCTACGTAAACACGATCCATAGACAACCTGCTCTGGCACCTGCTCTACCACAAAATGTTAGTTTTCTAATGAAAACAAAAATGGATTTCAGGAACCATGCTGACTTTTTTTTTTTTTTTTTTTTGCCTGTTTGTTTTAAATGGAGCCATCTGAATGGTTCTGTGTTTTTGTTTTGTACAAAAAGAAATAAGGCTGCTATAGTCCAGTTAGCTTGTGAGAAGTGTGCCGAGCACGAAGATCTCCTCCCAGCTGAGATGGATTTCTACCCAGGAAGTCGGGCCAACCCCAGGGAGTGGCAGCTCTAGCAGAAGAGGGTCAGCGAGGCTGAACATCACTTGCACTGTTCGTGGTCTGTGTAGTCATCCATGTCCACGTCAGAATCAAAGAGCGAGTGTCCAGTGAAATCCGTATCTGGGGTTCTGGAAAAACTGTTCTCTGCTCCCTCATCTTCAAAGGTCTCTGTCCTTGAGTAAAAGCTGAAATCCAGGAGGGGCGTGTGGGTTTTGCTGCCCTCGCTGCTCTCCTCAGACTCATAGATGGTGTTGTCATCATCGTGGTGCCACTCGGGCCAGAATTTCCTCCTTATCCTCTCACAGTACATGGCCAGGTTGATCAGCTCACCTGCAGGGGAGAGGGGGGTGGCAGTAAGGAAAGCCAGGGTTAATTCTCAAAGGCAGCAGCTTAGCTTTATGGGGGAATTGGGAAGAATGTGGTGGGGGAGACATTAACAATCTTTTTCTCCACGGGGACTATCAAAGATTTAGATGTTCATGCACATAAGAAGAAAGGTGAGTGAGAAAAGTTAAATTCGTAAATGGGCTGAGGGAGATACAGGAGAGAGTCTTATGGTGATGATGAGGAGTGGGGGTAGAGTATCCACAATGGTAGCTAAACTACCATCATTTGGCTTTGTAAAGCATTTTATTATTTCATGTTTGCTTATCAAGAGAACTGGTGCTTTGACTGGTTCATATTTAAATTAATTTATAGCCCATGAAAATACACCAACTGTTAGTTGGGGTAAGTCAGCCAGAAGTAATCATTCATTCTACAAATATTTGCAGTGTAATTAAGGTCTGGGTACTAAGCCAAGTTGTTGAAAAAATCATGTTAAGATGTTAGTTTTGCCCTAAATAATCCTAAATAAAATGGATAACTCAGAATTGTCTATGGATGAGTGTGCCCACAGGCACTTTTAGTAAAACAGGTATTTTGTTAAAATTTTTTTAATTAAATTGAAAAGCTATACCCATAATTAGGTTCCTACCCAGTCACTGGGTTACTTTTCACGTGAATCAAAGGAAAACTTTGGTTAAGTCACTAAACTTGTCCAGGTATTGGTCTGAAATATGACACAGAATTTGACATGCATTTCCTAACTCCCAGTGAAAAATGAAGAAGGTGAGTTTTTGCCTTTGGTCCACCAGATGGCAACATTGCTTACAAATACATAATTTGTCACTATTCCTTACAGGATCTCATTGCCCTAAGAGTATTCTTCGGATGTTTGTTTTTTAAAAGCTCTATAAACATCTACTTGTTATATAGGTAATCCATGTTTTATTGTAGAAAATTAGAAAATGTGGATATGCAAAAAATAAAAGTTACGAATAATCGCATCCACTGTAATAACATTTTTATGTTCATCCAGAAATGTATATACTTCTATATACATTTATATATATTTACATTTGCTATTTAGCATCTATTATATATTGTTTCCTATGCTACTTTTTTCCACTTAACATCCTATAATGGAAAAATTTCAATTTCACACTATCATCTTGATAACTGCACAGCAGTTCATTATTCAGATGTACCATAGTTTCATTTTGTTTTTTACCAGCCCCCCCTTTGTGGCCCTTTAGGTTGTTTCTGTATTAATGAGTCTCTTGATTATAGCCTTTAACTACACTATTTTATTTTCTATCAAAGATAATATACTCTCATTCCAGAAAATTAGAAGTCTGTATATAGAAATGGTATAAATAGATAAGGAAGAAAACAAAAGGCACCTACGCTCTCATCAATCCAAGGTCATCACAATTAACATTTTGGTGCAATTTATTTCTGCATATTTTCTATTTAATTATTGTCATTATTACCACTTCCTGTTACTTTGCATAACATCATTATATGCATTTTCCATGAAAACTTTTCAAAACTTGATTGCTGCTCTGCTTCAATAAGCACATTCCCTACAAAACATAATAAAGTTTTGTCCTACTCCATGGAGTTAGTCCTACTCCATGGACTAGTATTGGTTCCAGGTCACCATTTTCAGTTGTCTCAGATCATAACACTCCACTCATATTACAGAAGAGTCCATCCTGATTCCCTACTCAAGGATTTTACATACATGCCCAGGAGCCAGAAGCCAAGGAGCCAACATCAGTGCTCCTTGAAAAGATGCAGGCAAAACCTTCCCTTAGACTCTTCCTCAGGGAAGCAGTCATGAAACACCTCACCAGGTATTGCTGCCCTTCACAAGTAACCAAGACTCAGACAAAGCTGTGGAGGCAGCACCAAGGTTTGGAGAGTGGGGGCGGAATCAAAGATCATGGTCACTTCACAGTAGGGTCTGGGGACAGCTGTGTTTGCCTCAATCAACACCATTCCCTATGAACAGGTTAGTGAGCATCTAGAAAGTCAGAATCTAGTCACAGAATCTGCACCATATATGGTTCTATCTGCCTCTTGTGTGGCTGTTTGTCTACTCTCGGTTTCTTTGCTTTTCTTCTAGGAGAGCTGCCCTGCCTTCATAGTGTGTGACATTAATACCAATGCAGTGTGCAATAATAAAAATTAATAATAATAGTAGCAAACATGCATATAGTCCTTACTGCGTACCAGGCACTGTTTGAAGTGCTTTATTCATGTGTTGAATTAGCCCTTGCAATAATCCTATGAGGCAGGAATTTTTATTATCCCCATCTGTCATGGGAACACTGAAGCAACAGAGAGGTTAATTAACTCGCCTAAGGTCACATAGCTTGAAAGTGGCAGAGCCAGGATTCAAACACCAGCAGTCTCCAGACACCATGCACTTCGCCACGAATCTGTTCTCTCCCTCTCTACTGATGAGCTGACAACCTGGCTTGGGAATTAATAGCTGCACACTCTCTGTCACAGAATTTTTTCCTGTAATTCTTTCTGGGGTCTCAAGAATTATGAGAGGACAGGTGCCGCCCCTCAAAGATAAAGAGCTGTCAAGAAAAAGTGATGATTCCATCATGCAGTCCAGAAAGGGACTGCTTTTGATACACAAAAACTAGGAGCCCACATATCCATCCTCATATCCTGCCACCAATAAAAAGAATGGACTGAAGAATGAAATTTTATGGTTGAGTTCTATCCTTGTCTGGCTTGGCCAGTCCCTTCTGTGCCTAGATTCTCCATCAGCTAACCCACTCAACATGCCACCAGCCAAAAGAATAGAAAAAAGTTGGCAATAGAAATAGGCTCTGTGTATATGTGTGTGTGTGTGTGTGTCTGAGATATGACTGTGTTAACATAAAAGCCAATGTTGAAGGTGTAAACTTTGTAAAATTATAGGAAAACTGCCATTTTTTTCAAAGTGTACTTAATAATCAGATAATGATTTCGTACATCAAACCAGTAAAAATTAAAGTCTGATAATATCCAATGTGGAGTGTCAGGCATTGTAACTACATGTCTCATGGAATTATAAATTGCTATACACTTTTTTGGAAAGTAATCCAAAATCTCCTGTTGAAATATTAAATGTATATATCTGTTGGCCCAGAACTCCACTTTTATTTCTCCAGTCTACTAAAATAAAAGCACCAGTATATAAAGATATACGGGTATGGATAGCAACAGCATTGTGTCAGTAAAAAAGAAAGGTGAAAACAGCCTGAATGTCATCAATAGGGATTGACTGAATGAATTATACTGTATCAATTTTATATATTCTGTAGCTGTTAAAAAGACATAATATTCTACTAAGTGGAAAAAGCAAGTTATAATGTGCATAATACAGTTCTATTGCTTAGCTTAAAAATAGTAAAAACAAACCAAAACTACTATATACACATATGTAAATTTGCACATGAAAAAGAAAGGCACAGAGAGATTCATCCCAAATTCTTAATATCGGTTATTCTATGGGAGTGATATTGGACATGGATGAGGGGGACAGCATAAATCTTTTAAAATATTCAGGGCTTAAAAAAAAATCAGGGCTGCTTAGGTGGCTTAGTCGGTTATCCATCTGCCTTGAGCTCAATTCATGATCCCAGGATTCTGGGATAGAGCCCTGCATGGGGCTCCCCACTGCTCCCCCTCTTTCCTGCTCACACTCTCTGTTGCTGTCTCTATGTTTCTCTCAAATAAATAAAATCTTTTAAAAATTGTTTTAAATAAATGTTTTAAAATTTTCCTATATAATTGAACTTATTATGACAATCATGTATTTTTAAATTTAAATTTCCAATAAAAGGGGCACCTGGGTGGTTCAGTGGTTGAGCATCTGTCTTTGGCTCAAGTCGTGATTTTTTTTTTTTAAATAAGAATATACACAGCTACAGTCTTTCTAACAAGCAATTTAGCCATGTAGACTAAGAGCTTAAACCTTTTATTTTTTTTTTTTTGAGCTTAAACCTTTTAAGGCAGAAATTCCCCAACCAGAAATTTAGCTTAAGGAAATAACCAGAAATAAGCAAGAATATGTATTTATACAATATTCACTATAGAACACTGGTTTAAAAAAACGTGAAATAACCCACAAGACCAGAAAAAGAAGATTAATCACATCAATTATAATGTAGCCATGGGATAGAATATTATATTGTTTTAAGGCATATTTAATGACAAGGGAAATGGTCATAATACATAGTTAATTAAAACTATAGGTTTTTAACTGTATCAGCATCAGGATCCTAATTTTTAAAAATATATACATACATGTACTTCTTGAAAGATGAGGACACATACCAAAATATTAACAGTAGTTGTGTGTGACAGGGGGCACAGCTATTTTTTTTAACTTTTCTACTTTTCGAAATTTTCTCCAGCAAGAAAATAATATTTCATATATCTACATCTATATATATATATGCAAACACACACTTATGTATATTTTAAGAATTGCTGAATATTCAAAGTCTCTCAACTTATTCACCTAAATCAAGGCAAATTTCTCACTCTTTTAGATGGCTCCAGTACACTGTGTGGCTAGATACTGTAACTAATATCTAGGACCAAAAGCTAATATTTACACATATGCACTCACACACTCACACATGCAGTGAGGCCAACAGTGCCCTGGCGGCTCCAAAGTTAAGGCAAAAAATTGCTTCATCCAACCAAGCATTCACACTCCTGGTTTTGAGCCAGTTCTAAATCATACAGGTTCTTAGTTGTTTCTGCTTCTCCTTCCTTGTTACTTCTTAGGAAAGTCTCCATCACAGAAAGAGCAAAGGTGGAGAAAGAAGTAGAGACGAAAGTAGTAGTTTGTCTTCCTATTAGCAGCTCCAGTCAGAAGGTTTAGAAGAGCATGGAACCAATGACCAAAATGTGATTTGGAGACTCTCTAGGGACTTTAATGATTCATGCGACACCATTCCCCAGGGAGAGCTGGAAGCTGCTAACTTGTTTAAGAATCAAGTACATGCAACCATGTGCCAAAGTCCCTCACAGATGATGGTGTCAGATTCCCTCAAATGTGTGGGCCTTGAGTGGGACTCAAAATCAATCCTTCAAAAAGGCTGACCCATTTCTTTAAAAAGAACAATAAATGTCTCGAGTCCTTCCAGGAAGTGAAAGAGAGAAGGGCCAAGTCATAAATAATTTAATAAAAGATGCTTCATCCCTGCAAGAAGGGATTCCATAGAATTTGATAGTTCTGCTTATAATGGATACCTAAATGCTTCTGAGCAATAACAGATGATGTCAGTTGTGTGCGCACGTGCACGCACACGCATGAGCAAGCACTTGGGTATAAATATAAGTCTATGTGTACAAGTGAGTGTGTATGGAGTATGTACATATAGAAGTATGTGAGTATAATACCCAGTGCTCATTACAAGTGCCCTCCCTAATGTCCATCACCCAGCTACTCTGTCCCTCCACCCTCTGCCCTTCAAGCGACCTTCAGTTTCCTATAAGACTGATGAATCACTGACCTCTACCTCTGAAACCAATAATATATTATACGTTAATAATTGAACTTAAATTAAAAATTTTTTAATCAGGGGATCCCTGGGTGGCTCAGTGGTTTAGTGCCTGCCTTTGGCCCAGGGCGTGATCCTGGAGTCCCAGGATCGAGTCCCGTGTCGGGCTGCCGGCATGGAGCCTGCTTCTCCCTCCTCCTGTGTCTCTGCCTCTCTCTCTCTCTATGTCTATCATAAATAAATAAATAAATAAATAAATAAATAAATAAATAAATAATCTTTAAAATATTTTTTAAATCAAAAACTAAAAAAATAAAGAATTATGTGGACAGATGTAACAGTCTGTGTACTCACCAGTGTGTAAAAGTGGTGTGCTGGGGAAATGGAGGGAGGGAGTAGGAAGTAACAGGAACAGAGTGTACATATAAAACATACCTCTAAATGAACTAAAGGGAACCAATATATTTTTAGACAATTAAAATGAAAAGAAACTATGTTAAATGCTACAAATTTCACCATTAGGATAATATTCAATTTAGGTAAGTTTTAACATATTGTAAGATAAAGAACATCTCTAAGCTGATTATTTAGGAAATTAAGTATCAGTGCATACTATCCCAGGCCTCGCTCAGCTGAAGTTCTGGAAGACCTTCAGTCAATGCCTGACCCATTCCAACCAAGTCTGGTAATGTAGCTGAAGCCCCAACCCCTCCAATAGGAGGATCTGGAGAATGACTTCTCCTGTCCTTAGCCTGGTCTGAGCTTCTGGGCATGCACATGAATACACACACACACACACACACACACACACACACACACACACACCAGAGTGCCATAGCCTTCACCAACCTTCCTATCCACCCACCTGTGACCACCACACATGAGTATTCACCTGTCTCATGTTTCTTGTATCATTCTGCCTTGGTTGGTTCCCAAACATCATTCATCCAACATTAAAAGCATTCTACATGCTATTCACTGGTGACCTCATCTAACCTCCCAGCCTGCTCAGTCAGGGCATAAATACCTTGGTCAACTCTGTCACTCCCCTTCTCAAACCCAAATATTGGACTTCAAACTCTCTATCCCCAGCCCCCAGGCACTTGCTTAGGTACTTCTTCAAATTGGAGAGGACTCCAAACAGTTCCCACCCACCAACACAGGGGAAGCCTCTCCCAGGGGCCCAGCTTCCTTGTACATCCCACCCCTTCAGTCTCCACCCCTCAACATACACACACGCCAAGGTCTGGTCCTTGACATCAACCGACATTGATCTGACTTTCCCTGCCCCCTTGCTAACATGAATTTTACTCTTGGCTTACCACCACTACCTCCACCCCCACCCCCACACATATATTCATTCCTCCTCTAGGTCTGGTCCTATTCACCCCTACTTCTACCCCTCCAGTCCATAATGAAACTCTGGCAGGCCTTACAGCCAAGCTCATACTACAAAAATACAAGATTGTGTTTCTTAGGCAACATACACAACTATTACAAGTAATAATATCTTACATTGTATCTGACTTACGAAGCATTTGTTGACACTTGCCCCATTTTTCACAATCTTGAACTTTCTAGCTCTACTACTCTCAATATATGACCTATAGATACCCACTGGAATAGGAGAAAAGAATATTTTGAACTCCAATGATGTAGAAACGTATGTACTTATACCTACACATGAAATACATAAACCAGCTCAGACTCAAAAACAGCATGGAGATGGGCAGTGAGTCCATCAGCCCCAGCCTACCATGTTTGCAGCAGCATTAGATATATCAGAAAGTGGTGAGCCACCTGTGTCCCAAGGAAATTAAGAAAGCCAACAAAACAAGGGCACTAAGTGGAATTCAAGCTCTGTATCAACAAGTACTAAGTCCACTACGTAGGGAGTTGAAAGAAAAGCCCTGGTGTGATACACAGTACAATTTGTGTCAACTTTGTTGAGAACATAGTCTAGGCAAGATGGCAGCCTGGTCTCTCCTCAACCCTTAAATATCCTGATCACAGTAAACTGACCCCGGCCCTAGACACCACAGCCTGGTGTCACCATAAAACTTAGTCAAGTTCACAGGCATTGGCCTAGAATACTTCGTTGTGTTACCCCTACATACCCCTTCATCCCACAGCAACTCCCAAAACCCGAAGAGGTTTGTAGGACTTGCCTTTGATCAGCCGCTCAGGTCTTGTCCCAGGTAAGGTCCACATTGCCTGTGCCAAGTGTCCAAAGACAGTGGCGTCGAGAGTAGAAAGCTTGGGCCCCATGATGTACTTCTTATCACCTGCAGCAGACAGAGCAGAGAGGTTATTGGGCTGGCCTGCACTGCCCCACGTGGCCACCATCACATACAGCACAAATTACAGGTCCATTTAACTGTGTGTCAAGAGCTTTGCAGTCAAAATGCATGCACCCTCTTTTTCTTAAAAAAATAAAATAAAAAAATAAAAAATATATATATGAAACAAAAGTAAAACAGACAATTCTGTGATGTATCAACCCATACAGCAGCAAAAAAGAGAAGTAACTGGGAATATATCAAGAAAAGCAGGTGAGGGGGAAGGTTCATGGGGTGAAGGGAGATGTGATCACCCACAGACCTCTGGAGGCACCTCCTCGTCTCAAACTCTAGTAACTAAAACTTGAGATGCTTAAGAACACCTGAAAATTTGCTTAAACCATCTCAAAGGTACCTCACACCAAGCACACCAGCCTCAGGCACCTACTTTATTAAATTAATACATTTCCTTGGAAAAATTCAAGAAGCCTAAGCTAGGTGGCAAGGTTTTCCATGCTGCGCCATGGTCTTGGCAATGGTCTCACCACTGAGCACCAGCTTCTGAAGGAAGCGCTACACAGAAACTATGAAATTACAGGCCTAGGGATTGGGCTCGCATACAGCGATGTGTTGCACTTCTGCTCCCATCTCTCCTTTTCCATCACTACCGAACTACTGGACATCTGACCTATTAAAATTGCCCCAACTTGTCTCCCGAGCTAGTGCCAGGCGCTGTAGCATACAGAGGCAGCTCAGGTGGAACTGGATCCACCGTATTCAGATCCCAGCAACATCAGTAATCCCTGTGGGAGCCTACTTAGTACTTAACCTCCCAGAGCCTCAGTTTGCCCATCTGGAAAATGGGGATGACATCAACAGTGCTCATTTCTTAGGGCTATCATCAGGATGAATGGCATAATGCACATGAAGTACTTAGCACCATATGCTGGTACCTCAAGCCTTCGCTTTCATGATAGCAGCCCCTTTGTTTCTCCAGCACATTCCATATCCCACCTGACTTAAATCACTAAAGTACTCTTTTCACCATGTCACTCCCCTTCACAACTACCATCAACGGGCTATGATATGGGTTATGAAATAAAGTCCAAACTCGGAATTCAAGGCTCATTATGCTCTGCCTCCAACCCATGTTCTGGCTTTATCTGATGCTCCTTCCTTACTCTGGCAAGTCTGGGGGAGACTCCCCCCTTCCCAGCACACTTCATGCTTCCCAAGGTCCCATCTTTGCTCATGCTGTGCCTACCCCTTTCCCTGCCCTCCATAGTCTGTATGTGCTCCCCACTTCTCTCCATCTGGTAAATTCTATCCATCCTTCCCGGTCCAGCACAAGCCTCCTTCCAAAGCTTTCTCTGTCTATTCTATCTGGTGGTAACAAGAGTCTTCAGTTCAGACAGCCCTGAGTTCAAACCTTGCTATTAACATATGACCTTGTAGGACTGTAAGGTTTTTTATGCCTATTAACCTCAATTTTTTTGAACCATAAAATGGGAAGAATTGCTGGTAGTTTAGATGAATAAGTGAGGTGACTTGAGAGCACACAGCAGAGGCTCTTCTCACCCAGCCTCTTGGGTGGCATTTTATCCATACTGAGCTATGTGCTGGTTGGGTTTGTTTTTTGTTTTGTTTTGTTTTGTTTTGTTTTGTTTTGTTTTTGGTTTTGGTTGTTTGTGCATTTTACCTTTCCAATTAATGATACGGTCTTTGAAAGTAAGAATAATTTCCTATTTTTATTAAACAAACTCTAATGAAATATTTACTACATACCAAGCATGCTTCTAAATGCTGTATGCTACAAATATCTACCCATTTCACTGCTCTTGAGTGGCAGGCTGACAAAATTAAGTATCTGATGACTGTGTATAAACAAGCTAGAAGGAGAAATGGCTTGAGTTGGGAATGCAAATTAACAGACCAACACAGCACAATATGAACATACGGAAATGTATCAAATCAATACTCTGTACACCTTAAACTTATGTAATGCTTTGTTAATTATATCCCAATTTTATAAAAACAACCCCCAAAAAAACAACAACAAATGGAGCTGGAGATCATCTTTAAAAAATTCATTTCTGGGGATCCCTGGGTGGCTCAGTGGTTTAGCGCCTGCCTTTGGCCCAGGGCGCGATCCTGGAGTCCCGGGATCGAGTCCCACGTCAGGCTCCCTGCATGGAGCCTGCTTCTCCCTCTACCTGTGTCTCTGCCTTTCTCTCTCTCTCTCTATCATGAACAAATAAATAAATAAATCTTTTTTAAAAATTCATTTCTACTCTATATTCTACTGGGACCAAGAAATGCCCTAAATATGCTGAACCTAACCAAATTGTCTACTTGGTGAGGACAAGCAAGTTAGATGTCCATACCAGAGCCCCTAAGGTGTTTCCCACTGTCAACCAATCTCTCCATTATTTGAGCCTTACCCTGGGATCTAAGCCCTCCATCCATATACTGGGAATACACAGGAAAACACTAGACAAAAATAACAGAGCGAACCTGGATAAATCATTTGTTCTCAAGACTGTCAGTTGTTCCCTTGGGGTGCCTCAGTCAGTTAAGCATCTGCCCTCAGCTCAGGTCAAGATCCTGGAGGCCCTGTATTGGGCTCCCTGCTCAGTGGGGAGTCTGCTTCTCCCTCTGTCCCTTCCCTCACTCGTGCACATTCGTTCTCTAATAAATAAAATCTTTAAAAAAAAAATTCTCTCTCTCTCCCTCTGCCTCCCCATCTGCTCCTCCCTACCACTCTCTACTCTCTCACTCTCAATCCAAAATAAATAAACAAAATCTTAAAAAAAAAAAAAAGCGTCATTTATTTCTTAATGCACCCTGCTGGCTCCATGCCTTGGCCTCATGGAGTGGCTGGCATTAGTGATGCAGGTTGGTAGAGAGACCCTGACCCAGAGCTCTTGTGCCATCCTACGAGGGCAGGAAGGGTGTGTCAGCCAGTGATCCCTATAGGACTATGCCAGGGCTTGGCCCAGTCAAGGCCCAAACATAAGGAAGCCCACAATGCAGAAGCCATGAGACAGTTTTAGGGACTACTGTGAGAAGGCCCACACAGTTTCAGAGAGAAGAAAACCAAGACAGGACAGCTGGGGACGCCTGGGTGGCTCAGCGGTTGAGTGTCTGCCTTTGGCTCAGAGCATAATCCTGGAGTCCCGGGATCAAGTCCCACATTGGGCTCCCTGCATGGAGCCTGCTTCTCCCTCTGCCTGTGTCTCTGCTTCTCGCTCTCTCTCAAGAATAAATAAATAAAATATTTTTTTAAAAAAGACAATGTTGATCTCTTTGATTTAAAAAAGAGAAAGAGATTGTCTAAGGGAAATGCCAGAGTGAAGTGTATAAATTGACAGCTGTTGTAGAACCCAAAGACTTTGGAGACAAGAGGAAAAAATACAAAGGGATAAAAATTAAAAAATAAAATAATTTAAAAAAAAACACAACAACCTTAGGAACCTAAAAATAAGAGCACATGGGACTTTGATAAAAAAATTAATAAAAAAATATAATCATTTGAATCCATACATCAACTAGTACATGCAGTATTCAGCCCAAATTTCCTATTTTGGCATGAGAACATTAACACTAAAAATTCACAGAGTTAGTTAGTAATAGAACCAGACTAAGAAGGCTGGCTCCCAGGTCTTCCAACCTCTGGCCTTAGGCTCTCTGCTCTGTGTAATATGCCACATGGATCATCATCCCAGAGATTGACACCCCCTGGAACAGCAGGAGGGTTGAGCTGTGATCGTTTACCAAAAACAATGCTTTAGAGAGGAAGGAATTCTGAATATAGGAAAAAAGAAAGAAAAAAAGCCTAGGGCTTTTTAAAGGTGTTTCCAAAAAAAAACAGGATGGAATTTAGCATTCGTGGAAAATGATGAACGGTAGATACAAAATTACAAGTGTATACACACACACAACAGTCATAAATTTAAAGAATATCAAAATATACTCTGTTATTGAACAGTCCTCAAGTACCATATGGCAGGAAGCCTTTACAAAAATTTTATTTTGAAATGATTTTAGACTAACAGAAAAGTTGCAAAAAAAAAAAGGAGCTCCTCTATACCCCTCAAACAGCTTCTGCTAATATCAGTATCTTATACAATCACAGTACCTGTATCAAAACTAAGAAATTAATATTAATACAGTACTGTTAACTGCACTATAGACTCCATTCAAACTGTATTAGTTTTTCAACTACTGCCCTTTCGTGTCCCAGGATCCAATCCCGGATTCCATCTAGGATCCCACACTGCATGTGGGTGTCATGTACCCTCAGTCTCCTCCAATCTGAAAATTCCTAGTCTCTCCATGTCCTTCATAACCCCAACACTTTTAAAGAGTACTGGTCAGTTCTTTTGTACAATGCTCATCAATTGGAGTTTGCCTAAGTTTTTGTATGATTAGATTAGGTCATGCATTTTTGGCAAGAATACCACGGAAGTCATAATGTTACCTTCTGTGATGGTTAATTTTATATGTCAATGTAATTAGGACACAGAGTGCTAAGTTTTTTGGTCAGTTTATTCTGGGTTTTTGTGAGGGTGGGTTTTTTTGTTTGTTTTTTAAAATGTTATTTATTTATTCATGAGAGACAGAGAGAGAGAGAGAGGCAGAGAGACAGGCAGAGGGAAAAGCAGGCTCGCTGCAGGGAGCCTGATGCAGGACTCGATCCCAGGACCCTGGGATCACGCCCTGAGCCGAAGGCAGACGCCCAACCCCTGAGCCACCGGGTGCCCCTGTGAGGGTGTTTTGAATTAGGTTAACATTTAAGTGTCAGACTGACTACAGCAGATTACTCTCTCTAATATGAGTGGGCCTCATCCAATTAGCTGAAGGCCTTAATTTTTTTAAAAGGTGGGGGGAGGCACCTGGGTGGTTCAGTAGGTTAAGCATCTGCCTTCAGCTCAGGTCATGGTCCCAAGGTCGTGAGATGGCCCCACCTCCACCAGGCTCCCTGCTCAGCGTGGAGTCTCCTTCGC